ATGCCTCTGCGTGCGGACCAGGGCGGCGAGAGGCTCTCGACAGCGAAGGAGAGACAGGCACCTGGGCTGGCAGAAGGGCGCATTCGGGAACACGGACAAGGACGAGGGAGGGCATAGGAGGGGGAGAAGGTAAAGGTGTGGAAGAGAATAGTGGCGGAACACGGACGAGATGACGAACAGAGTACAGATAACTAAGAACGGTTTGTAGGAATGAGTGTAGACGTGGGAAAGAGGGTACACGATGTACAGCGGATAGAGGATGGAAAGAGGGTAGTGGCTTGGAAGAAGGTAGGGGCTGGAAAGAAGCTAGAGGTGGGAAACAGGGTACAGACGAAGAGGAGGTTAGATGCGGAGGAGGGCAGATGTGAGCAAGTGAAGAAGGTAGAGGCGGGTAACAGTATAGAGGCGAGAAACATGATATCAACACGTGAGAGAGATGCGGAACATATGTAGACAAAGGTATTGAAGAGTGTAGCTGCAGAAACGAAATAAGAGAAAGGTGATCAATTGGAAGGCAAGGACGTGGCAAAACACTCTGTTGCCGCTGACGCGTGAGCATCCTGCTTACATCCACTGTTACTTTACAACGGACGTTCCTTACCAGAAAATGCGAGTGTTGCTATAAAATATAATCTTAGAAATGCGGAAATGTCAATAAATGGATAAATAAAGTACTTTAAATCTCTTCAGAACACAAATATTACATTAAAAGGGACAAGTTACTGTCGACTGCAAGTCTCCCAAGCCGAGAAGCTTAGCGTATGCGAGTGACCAAGGAGCACGAAAGAGATTAACTCCAACTATTATTCTTGGGACAGTCTCTTCATTTATTTCACGCGCAAAGTTGTTTGGCTCATTACTCACTCACTAACTAATCGTTAAGTCAGAGAGTCTGCTCTCACCCTCTCTTTTCTTAATGTCGCAGCTTCGCTCTTTTTATCTTCTTCCTTCTCCCTTTCACACGCGCGAATATAGGCAAACTTAGATAAATATAGTTGTATATATTTATTGAACAAAACCAAATGTGTAATACGGTTAAAATGATAAAAATGACATAGTTATAAGAAACAATATTTCAATAAAAAATCTACATGTAGCCCTTGCTGGATCGTTGGTCAGCGTCCTCGCTTTTCACGGCGCAACCTCGGGTTCGATTCCCGGTCGGGGAACAATTATTGTGCGCTTTCCTTGCAATGTCCCAATATCTGTTGCTGTGTGACAATGAGAAAGCTCACTTCTCATGTTGAGAAGATCAGAATACAGCGTAGGTATAGTTATGTGCTAACCACACGTACCCCTTAACCCATGGCCGCAATGCAGGGACGCTGCTGGCAGGTCTTAGCTCATAAAGAGCTGTTGTGTCAAAGTACATCCACAAGCTGTTGTGCTAATAAATTCCTGGTCGAGAGTGTGGTTGGTGCCACGTGCAAGTGACCATTTGAGAGACCAACTATTGCCTTCAAAAGAGCATGGAGTGAATGATACACGGTATGCATAATCTAAATGGATAACATTAATATTTATGTGAGCGAAAGGTGAATGAGTTTTGCTGTGGAATGGGTTTTGACGTGGAACGGGCTACGCCGGTGAATATGTGCTCTCGGAGAACAGGTTTAGTCGAGGAATGTATTTGTTGGGGAATGGGTTCGGCGGGGAATACGTTTCTTCAAGGTGAGGTGGAGAAGTGGGTGGAGAGGGGGGGGCAAAGAATTGTTATCGTGAAGTATTGGGTTTCGCCCAGGAATAGATTTCGCGACTTTTTTCGACGTTGCTATTCAATAGAATGTAACCAGCAGAACTTATGTTATTTCACATTTTACCACTTGATGAGTCTGCATTAGCATCTCAATTACGTTCACGAGATTTCTTTCTTCCACATCTGTATACAGTTATGTACGTTTTCCAGCTTTAAAGTCCTAGAATGGAATTAAATTGTTTGAAAATGCGCGCTTTGGATACCAGAACGTGCACTGAACTATAAATAGTGTACGGTCTCGAAAAATATATTATAAAATAACGTACATTTATTTCAGTTTTCTCACAGTCAAATATGTTGAATTGGAAAACAACTTCAGGGAAAAGGTCGCTTAAAAGACAACTTCGTGGAAAATCTTTGTTCCGCACAGCACATTTTGAATCCTCTGACCTGTACTTCCTTTCCCTGTTACCAAGTTTTTCATTTCCTTTTGACCTTTTCATTTAGATTTACTCTCACGCGCGGCGGACGCGGTGAGACCTTTTTTAATTCGTTTAATAAAGATTTACATAACTTTTGATTAACATCGTTAGTGACAATAGCCTACACCAGGCGTGTCAAAATGCGCCCGCACGAGTTACTCGTCAGGCTGGAAGGCCCGGCGCTGCTCCGAGAATCAGGCACTTCCCTTGCCTGCGCTCGCGTTTCCCCTTCAGTTCCAAGTAGGGGTGTATACGCATGAGCTGTAGTGAGGACGGTAATCACGAATCGCACTCGAAATATCACGGCGAATGGTTGCTTGGTACGAAAATATGTTTGCGTTTTTTTTAGCAAACAAAGGAGATTTGAATACTCGTTTTATTTATAATATTTTTACTTCTTACCTTATTTAATACATGATAATTTCCTTTTTAAATTTTTCCCCGCAGAATCGTTTTTGTCAAGGGAATTAATATTTTTATTTTGGGGTATATTTTATCAAGAGATTGTGGTATTTAGTGTATATAGCAATACTGTGAAATTGATCAACAGGACTGTGTAGTCTACCCGTTTAAGTAAAACCTCATCTTATATTTATTATATTACTTTCACGGACGGAGCTCTATAACAAACTTTGTAACTTAACTTACAAGTTAAAGTAATAATAGCCCTGTTAGGTAAACGTGATGACGAAATTAAGATTCTCGAGATTCAAAATGTTTAATTTTAAACTCTATTGATGAGTTCAAGTATTACTTATGTATTTCATATTAAAGGATGTGATTCCTTGCTTTACTAGAGGAAACAGTATTTCCATTGAGAAATTAATACCTCTAAATTAGGAGCAATTACTGTCAACTCACTTCTCCAAAAGACTGCCGTGCGTCAGATTTCTAGTGACGTAGCACCACTCCCGAGAAATTTGTACAACCCTTACTTTTATATCTCGCGGCAGTTATTCTAATCGTAATACCCGCGAATTCTACCATTTGACCTCGCCTGCGACCTTACCGTACCCGACCTACACCACCCACCCATTGCAACCCGCTGCCATTTTCGACCCCGCCCACTAAACGGCCCATTGCCCTCCCACCCTTATGCGTCACGTCAAAACCACTTGTACCCACTCCGTCTTCGAGCATTACTCCCTAGCTCTACCTGCCATCTGGATCTCCAGGGGTGCCCCTCC